TTCCTTCTTCAAACTGCCCCCCCCTTAATCCAATCCCCTCTACATGTATATTAATTCTCCAATGAATTCCAGAGGCTGAGGCTTCGCTGTTTGAATTTCACATTCATGGTTTCGGTCTGTCCCTTGTAAACATCCATCCAAGTATCCTTGTTGACCATAAAGCTTGGAAGCCTCGTTTTCTCAAATGTCCTTTAGTGTAAACACATCCATCGTCCGGGCAAACTGGTGGTCGCCTTTTCAGAAAATAGATTTTAAGATCTCTCGTTATCGCTGATTTGTACCACCCAGCTGGTTGGTTGGTGTGTGTCTGTCTGTTCGCGTCTCCCTTCTGGCTGCTAGCAGATGGGCTCCCTTTCAGAACTATTCTTGAAAAGTGGACACCTTTTCGATGGTCCACGAAGGCAGGACCTGGAAATGGTGACCCCGCACGGTCCATGGGCCCAGCTACCCCCGACAACAGGTTCTTTCCTTCCCAATTTGCTCTTCAAACATGAACGAAAGCAGGCAGAGGGATTTTGGGGAGAGCAATGAGGATACTTGGGTAGACTGAGCTTGTTTTTGACTAGGACCCCACTCTTAAGCCCTTCTTGAAATTGAACATGTAGAGGGGTGAGTAAAGGGGGCTCCGGTGGCTTGCAACCAGGTGCTTGAGGGTTCCCTATCGGAGTTCTTGGGGGTCGGGCAAAGGGGCCAAAGCAGACCTATTCCTTTCTCATGAGGAGAAGGCGTGAGCTGGCTGTGAGTGAGTAACAAATGAAGAGCACCTTTCTGGCTGTCGCGGGTAGCCCAGCTGCGGCCCTATCTCGATGTTGGGGTGCTCACCACTTTGGTGCATGCGCTCGTAATCTCAAGATTAGACTACTGTAATGCGCTCTACGTGGGGCTGCCTTTGAGGCTGTTGCGGAAACTTCAGGTGGTGCAGAATGCGGCGGCCAGACTCCTCAGCGGGGTGAAAAAATTCCAACACATCTCACCCACTCTGGCCGCATTGCATTGGCTGCCCATCAGATTCCGCATCGACTTCAAAGTGTTGACGCTTACGTACAAAGCCCTAAACGGTTTAGGGCCTCGATACTTGGCGGAACGCCTTCTACCACCAAGATCTACCCGTGTCACTCGCGCGAGCCAGGAGGTGAGGCTGAGGAGCCTAACGCCGAGGGAGGCCCGGAAGGAAAAGAAAAGAAATCGGGCCTTCTCGGCGGTGGCTCCTCGCCTCTGGAACAACCTTCCCCCTGATATTCACGCGGCCCCCTCGCTCGGTATTTTCAAAAAGCAATTAAAAACATTGATGTTTCGGCAGGCCTTCCCTCCTAGTTAATTTATTTATTTATTTGGTTGGTTGGTTGGTTGGTTGGTTGGTTGGTTGGTTGGTTGGTTGGTTGGTTGGTTGGTTGGTTGGTTGGTTGGTTGGTTGGTTGGTTGGTTGGTTGGTTGGTTGGTTGGTTGGTTGGTTGGTTGGTTGGTTGGTTGGTTGGTTGGTTGGTTGGTTGGTTGGTTGGTTGGTTGGTTGGTTGGTTGGTTGGTTGGTTGGTTGGTTGGTTGGTTGGTTGGTTGGTTGGTTGGTTGGTTGGTTGGTTGGTTGGTTGGTTGGTTGGTTGGTTGGTTGGTTGGTTGGTTGGTTGGTTGAAGAACAGAAAGTGTTTAAATTACAAAAGTGAAGTAAAGCAAGGGAAATAATTTTATTTCAAGGTAAAACAGAAAAGTAGGGGTTTAGGGTTGTCTGCAAAAGAAACGGATGCCTTGAAATTTTGTTCTTTGTGTTTTATTATTCCTAGTTCACAGAACCTTTTAAAAATCTATTGCATTTATTTTTTAGTTCAGCTTTTTTTTTGGGGGGGAGGGTTTTATAAACCCTGTTTGTTGCTTATATCTGACTCCCACGTATTGAGCCTGTCAGTGCTATTGCACATGGTTTGTGTGGTATCAGCAAAAACTTCCCTACTTTTCTGAAATTGTTAATGTAAAATAATCCCTTATCTTTGGCAGCATGATAAGCAACGAAAGGAGCATGAAAGAAAGTTGAGGTTCTTTGCTTCGGCTGGAGACAGGACTTCATCTAAGAGGTGGAGTCCAAGTTCAAAAGTTTACATGGCAACCTTAAATTTCATGTAGATGTTGTTGTTTAGTCGTTAAGTTGTGTCTGACTCTTCGTGACCCCATGGACCAGAGCACACCAGCCCCTCCTGTAGTTATAGCTGTTCATGTAGATATAGCTGTTTAAATCGGATTTCTCAGCCACACTAGATGCTGTTCCAAGTCCTCCATTCTGTGCACCTTGCCATCGTCTCTTGAGACTGAAGGATGCCTACGCAAATAGCTGTTTCGGTGGCGGTGCACACCGATAGGGAAAGCATGTGAGGGTTGCGCTCTTTCCCCTTCTACCTGATGTCCATGGACCATTGTGAAGAAGGAATGTCTTCTTAATGTTAGTCTTAGAATCACCGAGTCATGGAGTTGGAAGAGGTCTATAAGGCTTCTGTCCATCCGGAAGCAGGGACTGCTGTAGTTCTTAGCAAAGCAGAAACATTTTGGGGTGGGGTGGGGACATCCAGCCTGCACACCAAAGGCCCAGCCGCTGTCTGGAACACAGAAGGTCCAGGTCACCCCTCTAAACCCTTACTGCATCCCATCTCATAAAGAGGCCAAATGTCAGGTGAAAAAGTCTAACATTTCCACTGTTTCAGGTCCAACAGGGGAAGGATCCAGTGAACTCTGTGGACAAGTCTCTTTTGCTGGGAAGGTGTGTGTGTGCATGCGCATGCGTGTGTGTGTGCGCGTGCGCAAATACTTACAGCTTAAGAAGGTAAAGGTAAAGGTTCCCCTTGACATTGAGTCCAATCGTGTCCGACTCTAGGGGGCAGTGCTCATCCCCGTCTCCAAGCTATACAGCTGGCGTTGGTCCATAGACAGTTTCCATGGTCACGTGGCCAGCGCGACTAGACACGGAACGCTGTGACCTTCCAACCGAGGTGGTACCTATTTATCTACTTTTGCATTTTGCATGCTTTCGAATGGCTAGGTTGGCAGGAGCTTGGACAAGCGACACTCCGTCATGTGGATTCGATCTTATGACTGCAGGTCTTCTGACCTTGCAGCCCAGAGGCGTCTGTGGTTTAACCTGCAGTGCCACCACGTCCCTACAGCTTAAGAAAGTCTTATGAATACATTGATACTGTTTTCATCCCACTTTCGGGCAACTCTACAGTTCTAAGATTCATATCGACAACAACCTAAGTGATACTAATACTGCCTTTTATTTTGAAAGCTTATCTATGAGATGCAGTAGAAAAAATGTTCCTAACAAGTAAAATATTACGGTTATGCCAAAAGTGTTGATAAATGAAATCTTAGCTATGTCTATGAAAAAAGGAATATAACTGTTTTCTAAGAGCCGGGTTTCAAAAGAATGGACACATCATGAAATAATAGAATACCGTTCTTTTACTCCATGATCGAAAAATGGCAGCTTGCAAAATGAAGCATTTAAATGATTCCTTCCTTCTTCAAACTGCCCCCCCCTTAATCCAATCCCCTCTACATGTATATTAATTCTCCAATGAATTCCAGAGGCTGAGGCTTCGCTGTTTGAATTTCACATTCATGGTTTCGGTCTGTCCCTTGTAAACATCCATCCAAGTATCCTTGTTGACCATAAAGCTTGGAAGCCTCGTTTTCTCAAATGTCCTTTAGTGTAAACACATCCATCGTCCGGGCAAACTGGTGGTCGCCTTTTCAGAAAATAGATTTTAAGATCTCTCGTTATCGCTGATTTGTACCACCCAGCTGGTTGGTTGGTGTGTGTCTGTCTGTTCGCGTCTCCCTTCTGGCTGCTAGCAGATGGGCTCCCTTTCAGAACTATTCTTGAAAAGTGGACACCTTTTCGATGGTCCACGAAGGCAGGACCTGGAAATGGTGACCCCGCACGGTCCATGGGCCCAGCTACCCCCGACAACAGGTTCTTTCCTTCCCAATTTGCTCTTCAAACATGAACGAAAGCAGGCAGAGGGATTTTGGGGAGAGCAATGAGGATACTTGGGTAGACTGAGCTTGTTTTTGACTAGGACCCCACTCTTAAGCCCTTCTTGAAATTGAACATGTAGAGGGGTGAGTAAAGGGGGCTCCGGTGGCTTGCAACC